CAAGTTAAACATTTTAAAAAGGTGAGGCATGAGTATCACGTCACTAATTCGTTTTCTGCGGCTTTTTTGGACGACACTCTGCAAAATTTTCGATCGAGTTGTAGGTGGTATACATCAAGAGAAAGCGATAAATACTGTTTTTTTTGGACATTTTTTAGTAATTAAATTATTTTTTAAATCATTATAGTTGAAAAATAAATGCATCATCGTCTATAGACCAAGCGTGCCCAAACTTTATCAATTTGCGGGCCACATTCAAAATGTATATTTATACTGCGGACCGTATATACTGTCTCATTTTGATAAAATATACACTATTAATATAATTAAAAATTATAAGATAAGTATAAGTATTATGTAATTTTTAAAATCGTATTAAATAAAATAATTTTTTTTTAATTATAATTTTTATTTTTATTTTTATCTATAGGTAATTTATCCATAGAAATTTCTAATTTTATAAAATGATCAAGGGCCTGTTGGAATACTTCTACGGGCCGTGGGTTAGGCACGTTTGGTCTAAACTCTAGACACGTATTTGCCACACGGCATATGCTGACGAAGGCCTATGGCACATGCCAAAAGCCGCTACGTCTGGACGCGCTTTTAGCACCACAATTATTAAGCCCATTATTTTTTAAATAGCATATTTGTATGATTATATTAATTGTTCTATAAATATCTTTTTAGTCTCATATTATAATATATTACAATATGTGGCAATATACTCGTATTGTAATATCGTGTATAGTATAGTACCTATACTTGTATATATCTATATAGTCAAAGTTAATCGTTAACAGTTGATTTATATGGCTTAGCCGATATGTGTATTATTGTCCTTCAAGTCGGTACGACTATTGCTGTAGACCAGGGGTATCCAACCTACGAACCAAGGGTTTTTCACTGGCCCATCAAGCTAATTAATGTTTTGAAAATAATATAGTTATTGTTTTTAATTTATTGAAATAATTAAATAAAATTAATTAATTATATATTTCTTTTGGTGTTATTCGTAACAGCTTATAATAGAAAAACTCGTTATAAATTTTAAAAAGTATATAAACAAACATTCATAAATTTCATCTATATATTCTTCAATTTCTTAGCCGATCTATTCCTCTAAAAATGTTGGCCCACGATGCCAAAGTGTATCTCAATTTTAGCCGGCTGTAAAAAAAGGTTGGAGACTGTAGAGTCTATTGGAATCCTTCGAGACTAAAATTACGAGTAGGTACACTACCTATCTATATATTAAATTGTATACAATACCTGCGATATGATATGATATTATCATACTATATTATCATACTGTTATAATATGAGTACACAAAACATTTAGTGCAGCATCGTCATCCTTAGTATTCACCACTGGCTCTGCCGGGCTTAAGTTAATATTTATCTTGTATCTGTATAATATGAAAACTGAAAGACGTAAATGTTTGTACTTGCAGTGTAATAAGCTGTAATAACGCTGATATTTTTCTGTTATTATTATTTATCGGTAGTATCATGCGTATAGGTACCTGTGTTACACACCATCAGTTGTAAGCACGGTTGTCGTGGAGAGGAGAAAAGAGAAATAAATAAAAACAGAATATTCACAGTAAAAATATATGCGTCGTTTACAACGCGCGCACCTTATATATTGTTATTATTGTTGTATTTTTAACAGAAAAAATATGTACACAAAATAATAGGTATGATGATGATAATAATAATAATAAAAATAATATTATAATATTTGGCGAGCACGCAAAACAATCGTGTGCACCTGCCGTAAACAATCACGCTCGTCGTTAAAGTCACCAGCTTGTTACACGGCAGACTATATTATATATCTATATAGTATATACTTTATACACACGTTTATTGAATGTTATATTTATAACACATTTACGCGAAATTGTTCACACGGCTCTGTTGTAGTAATAATATAGGTATAAATATTTATTTTTTAAATTTAAAATAATATATGGTTTATAATATAATAATATGTATATGGAATGTAAATATATGCGTATTCGATTAATACAATAATCATAATCGTAACAACATTGATAATATAATTAAAATAAAAAAATTTAATCGTATGACATTAAAACGATCATTAATATTTATTACACTTTTGTACATAGGTATACTAAAAAACATCCACGTTTAACAATAAATAGGATTAAGTACATGATAGGTATTACAAAATATATAATAAAATAATATGGGTTAACAATAACTTACAATAAACTTAGGCTAATGATAAAAAATGTATATTCATCATGGGCGAAAAAGTATAATACTATAATATAATAATATATATTATATACATAATATGGTTCATAGGTAATTTATATACAATACTCACGACGACGACTTTGGGAAGTCACATATCTCTACCTTTTTATGTACAAACTTCAAGATGGACACCAAACAACAGAAACAAAACGAAAAATACTCGACCACAAGCGTATTACAAGTGTAAGTATTTTATACTCGATATGATAATTGGATCACTTGGCTGGACGTCGCGCTAATATAATATATATTTTCCCCTTAATCTATACCATTATCATACATTACACGATTATATAGATAGGTACGATGTGCACGTGCAGCATACCGCTTCTACATAGTCCCAATAATAGCTGTAATGGTGTATAATATATTATATTATATACGGTAATACTATTATTACTACGGCCGCCGTATCCGTGAAAACATAATATTATAATATAGCGGCCACTACTTCATTTTTACAATTTTTAATTTAATTCCGCGTTGCACAAACAGACCATATACGGGCTACAGTAAAATGTATAATTATATTAGGTATATATACATATTAATCGTGAAAATACGATAGTAAGATAATTACATTATGATTATTACTACTATATCTGCAAGTCTACAACTAAAATACATACTACTATACTACTACTACCTACTAGTTACAGGCACTAGGTATAAACACGATAATAATATCGTCGTCGTCGTCGTCGGTTTACTGTATAATTACAAGAAGTTTCGATTAGCGCGGGCTAACCTAATGCGAGACACCACTGCTTACTATAATAATAATCTCGGGGAAACAAAATTGAAAACGTATAATATTATAATTCAACATTTAAGCACAGCGGTCAAATTTTACCCAAGTACGGTTAAACGACAGTGCAGCTAAGATGCCTTATATTATACTCGTAGACCGGTCCAGTGAATTCAGATCAGATCTGTGATGGAGGACGCTGGTGAGGAATTAAGCTACAACCGTATTATAATAATATTATATTAAATAATATTCAATAATGTTATACAGTTTAATTTCTTGTGGTCACTCAGTAGCGCCCTATATCTCTGCTCACGAGTCACGACCAGTATAATTTCAGAAAAATATAGGCAGAGCTGGCGAGTCAATAGGTGGCCTATATAATGATGGCGGGCTGTAGGAACCGCAAGTATGCCGTAAGATCTGTTGTAGCCGTATAATATACTATATAGGTATTAATAGTATCTATATGATAAATCGATAGCTCATAATAATAAAGTCGACCAAGATTACGTCGTTCTGTTTTCAAGTCGTGTGCTAAAGTTTGGAAATTGATTTTAAAAATGTACCACCGTTGTCTATATAATAATTAATATGTAATATTATATATATATTATATGCAAAATTAATTGATGACAAATGTTTCTTTTAATTAGTTACGCACACATTTACACTGTGCCCATAATATGAATATTATAATATTATGATCGATACGCATGACTTGAGCACGCACGTTAAGATTAACGCCGTATCGGCTCACCCGAATTTTCTTCCTCTGCGCGCATTATTTTTCGAAATTTCCATCACGAGATTGTAATGGCAAAACTATAATAATATAATTTACAGATTTTCTATGCGCATATAGATAATAATATACCCAACCACCGACGTCTCAACAGCAGCTTACATAGCGGATTCGTGTGGGCGGTGTCTTAAAGCAGATGGGATTCGTTTATGGTTTTTAATTTGATTTCGTTTTCGATTCGTTTTGCGCCGCCGCGCGTCGCGCTCGCTTTTGAGCAACGTCACGTTCGGTTCGTTAAAATACCAATTACCTATCTCGTCGTCATTATGTTAGGTATATTATATATTATATCGGGAAAATGTTGAGCGTGTTATTATTATTATTATTATCATTGTACCTGTGCGTATAGGCATGTATATCGATCGAACGTCCTTATATGTATTATATTTTATTAGATCCATCTATCGATGACTACTGCACAGGAAGACACGATCGGGGCCAGTACAGATTGTGCCGCTGTTGCAGTTGTCGGGTGGGGCGCGCGTTAAAACCTAACCTATGCTGCAGCGGGAGGCGCAGCGAACGGGGGCGATTTCTCCGCCGTCACCGCCTCCCGTTTCGTCGTTGCAGTAATACGGAACGAAAGAAATAAAAAACCTACCTAATCGTTAATAAATTTAATTATTTTACGGGAGCGATTCGTATAATACTACGATAATAATATCATAGACGTATATACCATACGCACCTACCTATGTTATTATTGTATTGGCTGCTGACCGCCGGCGGCCGTTCCAAGACGGTGAAAATTATATTGTAATAAAAATATGAAAATACATAGACGGTAGTAGTAACAGTATCTATATAGTCACTACAAATTACAGCCGTGTACTAACACTATTTGAAACATAAAACATTTTACAGTAATAATACGATGTCCGCCGTACAAACCATATAACTAGTATGAAAGTAATCGCCAACACCTGCACCTTACCGTCATCGACCCTTGAGCCTAGTTTACATTATACCGTGTCTCTGGTATAGGGTTGAATATATTAAACTTGAAGGTAACGTGTTGTGCGTAACATGATAATGCGTTACCTACAATATTATAAATACATCGAACACGGCACGACACGGTGTAGTGGAAACTCGGCTTTACAAACATAACGTACTCTGTCATCGGCACGACAACGGTAATCGTGTTTGAGGCGATTAAGACGAAGTGGACGACGACAGCGACGACGAGGAAGAACAGCGGCCACCGTTGGCATTGGCGGCATCGTCGCCGGCGTTGCTACCGCCGCGCAAGCGGATCTCATCCCGGTGACGGCGGGCTTTCATGCGGAGCGCCGCGATGCTGGACGACCGACGGTTTAGTTCGGCGGCTGCTGCTGCAGTAGCCGCCGCAGTAATCGGATCCGCCGGAGGACACGCGTCACCGTCCGACCCGGCCGGGCTGCTCCTGTCGCTGCAGCTCCGACTGCCACCGCCCCCGCGAATTACCGCGGCCGGTGGTGACGTGGTCGACGAATCGGACCGAGGTGGCGGTGGTACGGCGAGCGGACCTGACGGAAGTGGTGGCGGCGGCGGTGGTAGCGGGTGCAGTATGGCTGGCGGCGTCGTCTGCGAAAGCGGCGGTGACCGAGCACCACCGACGACGGCGGAGGGTCGCATGGCGGCCGCAGCCATGGCCATGTTGGCAGCAGTGCTGTTGAAGTGTTGCTGCTGCTGCTGTTGCTGCTGTATGATGGTGATTGTTGGTATCCCTGACCACCGACGCCACCGCGAGGTGTTGGTGATAAGCGGCGGCGTAAGGATGATGATGGTGGAGATGGTGCTGAGACGGCACAGCTGGCGGCGCGGCCACCGGTGCTGGATGGTAGAGCGTCGGCTGAAGCGGAATTGTTGGAGGTGGTGAGTTGTTGGTAGTAGAGGCAGGCGAGTAGTCGAGGCGCTATCGTTTTCCGGGCGGCGATCTCTGCTGTTGCAGCTGAGACGGATAACCACGGAAGTTAGCTGCCGCCGCTGCGACTGCAGCTGCAGCTGCGGCTGCGGCGGCTCCGTTGCTGCGTTGGTGCTGTTGCTGTTGCTGGGAGTTGAGGTTCCATGGCGCAGCGGCGACGGTCGACAGGGCTGTGACGTCGGTGAAGGCAGTGGCGGTGATCTGCCTGAGCCACCGTTGCCCGGATGATGGTGCTGGTGATGGTGGCCACGCAATGCAGCTGCCATAGCGGCCGCGGCTTGTAACTGCTGCTGGTGATGGTGTGATTGTGGTGGTGACCGGCGTGTAGTAGAATGATGACTACCCAGACCAATGTTGCCCATTCCCAACGGGCCACCACCGCCCAAGCCCATGCCACCTGTCATCATGAACGGTGGGTTAGCCGGAAGCGGGCTCAACGCGGCTCCAGATGGGCTGTGGCGGCCGGCCGACATGGAACTCGGCACTCCCAAGTACGGATTTCCACCCCCACCGCTGTACGGGTGAGCCTGTGGACCGACTTTCTCCTGTTTGCGCCATTTTGCCCGTCGGTTTTGGAACCATACCTGAAACATGCCATGAAAAATATTTTAGAAAATAGTAGACATTTATACATAAAACCACGTATAGGCTTTAAAAAAAACAACTACATATTTTGTCAAAATAATATCATATTATCTTGATGACTTGATTATACTACGATAAGGACCATACGCACACAACTTAAAACGCAAGCACCTCCCCCTCTCATTCTACTCACCCTAACCCACCCACAGCAAAAATCAGATCAAATTTCGTGTAGTTACCTTTAAAATATAAGAAGGTGAATATTATAAATATTATTAATATGAGCATATTATAATATTATTTAGAGTGCTATTATCAAACTTAAATGTAAAAATATTATCTTTACGGCAACTCATATTGCCTATTGCAGGCTTATATGGACATTTTAATTTAAAGAAGATTCCCCACACAGCATATTTTAAAGTGTTTGAATAATGAATATTTGACTAATAATTTGTATAATATTTTTTGAAAATATATGACTAAAATGTTTTTATAATATATATTATATTTTCAAGCATATGCACTTCTGCTAAATAATAACAATACCATTTTACTGAAAATATTTTTACCATAGTTAGAAATTATTCTTATGATTAAAATTGTAATATTTTACAATATAGTTCAGACGCTTTCCCGCATAAGACGCTATTTGCCGTCGGTCCCTATATTATCTATATCCCTATTTCATTCCCGCATAAGACGCTTTCCCGCTTAAAACGCTCTAGAGAGCTGGTCCCTTAAAGAGCGTCTTAAGCGAGTTTTACTGTAGTTATAAGTTATAACTAACTATTAAATTAAACCATCAATACAAGCCTATTGCATATAGGGCTATGAGGTGCCATAGGCGATGATATAATTACCGTTAAGTTATAACTTGTTGGTAATAGCCAATATAGGTATATTAACTACTGTATAAAAGCTATTACAACAGGTAACAACACAAAATTGGATAAGTTGAGCGCGAATTTGTCGTGTATAATCGTGTGGGTTAAAGAGAGAAAACAATAATGCAATAATGGTGAGCTGACAATAATTGACATCCTATATACCTACGGGGATTCGCATACTATGTAGTATGTACAGATAATAATATATAATAACGGACATTATAATATTATTGTCGTCGACGCGTTGTTAATTAAACTGGCGCGTGGAAATCTCACGCTTATTAACAACGCGTGTACCACCTATATAATATAATACATAATACTTAATATTAAATATATAATATTTCATTGGCGTATTATAGTTATACAATGCATGATACAGAAAATCGTCTCATCATCGCGTGTTATATAATATATTATATAAAGGTGGTGGTACACAGCAGCAGCCGCAATACGGCGGCAATACGCACCACGTCTAATCTAATCTAATCTAATATAGGTACACACGTAAGGTTAGTTGATGTACTTTATATATATACATATGATAAACTCATATACATTTTGTATTGTCCTGGTGGAAAAAAAATGTGCGCGTACTCATGCTCACATCAACACACGTACACACACACATATATATATATATATATATATATATATGATATGATATTATCATCGTTACGCCGGGTTAACCGCGGCCGCGGCGATATTTAATAACAATAATAATATAATAAATAACATTAATACAAAATATCGGTTGGCCTGCACGGTGTGAGAATGTAGAAGAAAAAAATTTTAAAAACCGACAAAAACGCCCAGTCATCGGTAACCAATTTAAACGAGGCCTCTCCGGCGCAGTGCAGTAGGTATAATATAATAATAATAACATTATAATAACGTAATATACCTAATATATTATAAATCGTATTAACGTATCGCAATGACGACGACGACGACGACCGACCGTCGACGGCGACGTTCACGATACAGCTACGTACATAACTATAATATTATAATATGATACATATTACATGAAATGCGCGTGCGTGTGTTAAAAACCGTGGAAAAATTTATAATAATATAATACATATATACACACACACACACACACACACTCGCGATATGTGTCGAGTACTATATTACATTATAACAATATAACACGGTATATTAAAAAATATAAAAAAACTTAATGCGGTGTGTTAAAAAAAAAAAAAAAAATGATAATAATAATACGAGGTCTACGATATGACGTAGGTATAGGCGGTACGCATTATTATTATTTATTATAATATAATATAATATATCGTGTTGTGTCGTCGATGGACAATGGACGGCGGTGGCTGCCATATTATATTATATTATTATTACTATATTGTTAATATAAGACTCTCGTGTGTGTGTGTGAGATGAATATTCGCGAACGAGTACCGTTTAACGTGCGTTATACATACACGTACGCGATAATAAAATGCCAACACAATGTAATATACGGTTGTTTAGGCGCGACGACGCGGTTTATTGTGCTGCCGTCCGCGCTATATAGTGCCCATGATAATAATAATAGTTATATATCGGCCGAATAATAGAGCATAATATTATGACGATAATGTGTATATAACATGTGTGAAAATTTCCACACACGCACATCACGCTCGCGTCATATAAATATTCCGTCCGTATAATTAAATAGATGACCGCGATGTTTTTTGATATGCAATTTTTTATGTCGAATTGAGAGACATAGAGAGAGAGAGAGAGAGAGAGAGAGAGAGACTCCGCCGAAGGAGGGAGATATTATTATAGTGCAGATATTTGCACTCGTCAAAATATTTTCAAATATAAATATGATATTCAAATTGTATATCGGTTTGCCGCAGGATCATTGTAATCGAACGACATTTATGAGGTAATATATTTAGCGTAGTACCTAATATATTAATTATATTTTGATATTTCAAAATATATGATAAATGTCAAGCTCAGTCTTTAAAGGCCCAAAATCAAATTAGCAATTGTGAACAAATTGGTTATCAAAAATCAGCACAATAATATGTTATTATGTTGTATAATATATTATATATATAATGTATTTAATGCAAGATAAGGGGAAAGGGGAAGTTCGACAAGTAGCCTACGGGTCTCCCCGATAATTGAAAAATCTCTCTCTCATATCATAAGTTCTCATTAATTAGTAGAATTTTTGTATTTGTAAATTTTGTTTGCAATTTTGTCCCCACACACAGTTGTAGAGGTGGCGGTGGCGGTAGCGGTTACGGCAAAGTGAAGACGGACACAATTGTACCGGCGGCACCGCCAAGACAAAAGAATTTTACTGCTACAGCAGCAGTATATTATATTATATTAAAATAATAATATTTGTAAGCCAATAACGCGATTATCTTTTAATATAAAACGGTATTAAAATATAAATACTTTTTAAAAATTATATTTTCTTAATACAGTGGATTATTCTGAGAAGTGGAATTAAGTTTTACAGAACTATATACGATTCATGAAATACGATAAATGATAATAATATTGTGAATTTTTATCTTTTTCACATACAAAGTATTGTGATGGTATGGTATCTATAATATATACATCATAGTATAACATATATTTCGTTTGGAAGGAGCATATTATTTATTTCATGATTTGGATCGAAAACCGTGACTACAAAATAACAAACCTCAGTACCTATAGGCGAATTAAATTAGTAAATTTAGAATAATCGGATTCAATTCTGTAGAACAATTGAGTTTATCAGCCTGATCTTTTCTTCTTCTCTAGTTCTCTAGTTTCTCGTGGGAATCGATTTTTAATATGTCAATTAAAATGTAGGACGCATAAATGAGGGTCGCATTAATCTATTGTCTTAAAAATTAAAATATCCCATTTTGATTCTCAAATTTATAATAATTTTAAGTATTCAGGTACTTTGGTTTTATTTAAAAAAAAAATGAAACAATTGTTCAAAAATCAACTTTCGCACAATAACTTAAAAAATACCCCAACGAGTTCAAACATTCTATACTTAATTAAAATCTGATCATTCTTTCTTTAGTACGAGTAATTTTGTCCGACTGGTTTTGGTACTTAATTATGGTTCACTGTCAGAATAAAAAATTATATTTTACCTAATGCAATGATAATATGAAATTGTAGGTGGCACGTGCCAAATATATACGTGGTGTTGATAGTGCTGGAAAAACTATTGATTGCTACTCACTATGCAGAACAACAGTACGCGACTATATTATAATCGGGAGTAGCGACAATTTCCAATGGACTTTGTAACAGGTACATATAGATCATAATATAGGTACCTAGATGATAAATGAAAATAAATATAATTTATATTTCCAATCACAAAATATTTAAAATGTAATCGAGACAATCGGGACTTCAGAATATCGAATTTACACAATTTGAAAGGGCTTTACAAATGTATCTAGATACCTACATAATAATAATACGGCTTACCCATTACGCTTAGTCACGACTAGTATATTATTATATAGGCGCACTATATTATATACTGCACATCGGGTCTCACTTGCATAGTTGCATCGTATGCTATACTATACAGTATAATTGCTAATTATAGTAGCCATCAGCCATAATATATACTATGTTCGATATACTATCGTACACGATACACTGCACGAACGCACAATATCCATATTATATTATGTTGCAAATATAATTCAATATTATTATAAGAAGAAAAATAAAGAGACGTCTTCGACATGGTATAAAAAATATAATATTGCCTGTTTATATACATAGCCGAGAGTAGAGGTACAACGTGTTCGTTTTTGATTTACAAGAATGTCCCATCATTCGTCTGCGATATAATAGATTGGAAAGTGCACATAGACGTCACACTATATATTATATTATATAGGACATTTTTGAGAATTCTCTGAAGTTTTTGGTCAATACGCCTTGTTCGGCGGGTGACTTGTCATATTGTATGTTATTATTTTACATGCGAAAACGGCTTCTCTCCCACAAATGAGTCGTCATGTTCCGTGAATGGCTATTATACGAAAATCGATTTCCCATCGACAGTATAATATAATATAACATAATAATAATATGGCATATGC